TCAATGAATGACCTAATGGAGTACTCAATATTTCAGATTCCAATTTCTTCTTATTTCCCATTAATTATCGAATTAATGATTAAAAAGTTTTTTCTATTTCTAAAGACAAATATTCTATTTTGCTTAGAATGATATATTCGTGCATTTCTACTACACTTTCACTCAATATTTCAGATTCAAATTTCCTCTTATCTCCTATTAATAAATTATCGAATTAATTACTAAAATTGTGTTCCCTATTTCTGAAGACAAATATTCTATTTTGCTTAAAAGGCTATATTCATCCATTGCTATCATATTTTTACTTGAAACAGTGAAATGACCTAATAGCGTGCGGAATGTTATTTGTCAGTAAAAAAGACTGAAGTGATGGTATTAGATCAGAGATACAGATAACCGAAAGTGAAAGAAAATGGATGGAAGTCGTCTCGGTGTTTCTCACGACGGCGTCGGACATCCCTTTATGGTCGCGACGCGAGACTCCCGTTGAAGCGAGGCTAAAGGGGCACCACTAATAAATTGGCATTGTACGCTATCTCGCAACGTCCGTAAATGGGGTGCATCGGAGGTGCAGCACGGCAAGAAAGTTTACCGGACGGGACGGACGGTTCTCGGAGCCGGTGAAGCATGAACTGCTCCTCTTTGCGTTGTTCAGACTCGTTCCTCAGGTTCGTCATCAACAGGGAAAGGGATTCTTGAATTACAAGTCGCTTGAACGCTCTGCGATTTTTAAAAACACTGATTTCCAGTTTCCTCTATTCCGGTCAAAGTACAAATTTTATGCTCGTATTTCTTATGCTAGTCTGATAAACTTTATGGCAATTAATTTGCATGGTGTTACAGAAATATGTATTTAATGTCTTTAATGACGAAAGCTAAGATAGATAAACGTAGGCGCGACGAACAAAGTAGAAAAAAACCAATCGATCAGCTCTGAAGAAAATGAAAAGTGATTGCAACCGCGAAAGTCACGCTCGATCTCGCTCGAAGCGTCCGAAAAACACGATTTTTTGCCGAAGAGCAACGGCAACGGCGGAGAGAATTCTCGTGGTCCGAAGAAACTGGGTACCAAAGAGAGGAGAGAAGTCCAGGAGAAGAAGAAGGCTCCCACGATCGGGTCGACGACTAGTCGCCTTCACGAACTCGAACGTATCCACGCCAGGCAACGCAGCCTTGTAAGGATGCGGCTGGCATTAGCATCGAATGACAGAAATGGCTTTATAGTGGAAGTTCGAGGGATGAAGAAAGTCAATAATGACCGGATCGGCCTCTTCTTCCTTCGATAGGAACGTAGCGCAGGTCGAGTTCGATTGCGTTATAATCAAACAGATTTCATCGTTCATCTGTTCGTACTTATCACGTATTGAATTAATATTCAGATTACACTTCGAAATAGAATAACTTTTTTAATATTTGATCAAGGAACTTCATTCTTTTGTGGATTTTAGGAGATTTGGTTTACTACATAGTTTGTAACAAAAAATTACTATTGCACAAAATCTTGAAGAAAAAAGAATACATGACGTTTAGCTTTTTTATCAGAATTTCCAATAAAAATTTGGAACATTCTATTCATTTGTAGATCTGACTCTATGCATCTACAAATGGTACAATACCCAAAAGAGACTTTTCTGTATGAAATCAAAGCTAAAGCACCCCAGATTTAACTTTTATCTGTTCAAAGAGGAACTTGACTACCAACAAATCTTTTCATATGAAGGTGAAAGTTGTAGTTCCGTAAACCCATAATTTTCACTATTTTCGCCTATTTATATACACATTTTTATCGACGAATGTTAGAAAAGTCATGTGACTACCCTGGTCCCTTAATTCAGTTTCTACTGACGCTGTTCTTGCATCCAACTGTAGAGTGCTACTGTAATAGAGAAATATTTTACGCGGCACGGGTATTATCGACATAACTTGAGCACGCAGCTTCTATGAAGATGTTTGCGCGGCATGATTAGAGGGGCTGTACTATAGAAAGGTCGCGTTGGATAGGGTGCGTCAAGTACCGGGGTCCTTGACGGTGTTTTCTTGCAGGGTCATCCAATCGAGAGTCCACTATTTGCACTGACAAGCCAACCCCTTCCTCTGCCCCCGTCGGAGATAAACGCAGTGCTGGCCCTTGAACCGAGAAAAGACCGGTTCGAGGCACTTTTTTCACGCGATACGCTGAAAATTAACGTGATTACTTGATGACTTCATGAAAGACTCTCATCACATAGCATAATCGCGCTCGCGTCAATTCCCGTCGAATTCCGTCGCATTTCTCCGAGCGTTACGTTTCCCACGACGTACTATAACATTAATAGCGGTCAGAAATATTATCACTGTATTGGTTCGTTGCATGATTAGAAAATGAACTCATGATTTGATGTCAATATATTTATTCAAATAGATTCAG